AGATGGAATGGAATAACAAAGCTCTCAGACAAAAGGCACCTTAGCCGTCTTTAGATGCAAATCACACAAGGATGGAGACTGAAAATCTGGCAGTTGGACGTGGGAAGGGAGGGCACTAGACTGATTTTCCCCAACAAGCTTGGAGCTGAGCTATCTTACCCCCTCCACCCCAAAAATGCACACAGTGAAAAAGAGGTGACATAAACACGTCATTCTTGAGATTCTAAGTATCACCAGAGAAAGTCCGGCAGACCTTTTCCAACCAACACATTTTATTAAGAGGAATAAGCTTCCACCAGCTGCATCTCACTTCATCAGATGCATAGAGTGACTTGACTAATGTAGGATTTGAATATATTTGTAATCTGTCTCACATGTAATCTGCATCTGCATAACCAACCTGTCTTCCCCTCCCTTTCCCCCTTCCACATCCCAATTTAAATCCTGCATCAGTCTAGCCACTCTGCACATCTGATGAAATGAGATGCAGCCCACAAAACTTATGCCTGTTAATAAAATGTGTTAGTTGGAAAAAGTGCTACTAGACTCCTCCTCACATTTTGCCACCATAAACTAACACCTCTCTCCTCCTACACGAAGTATTAAAACAGAACAGTAGGAGTAAGAAACCTGGTGTCCTCAAGCTGTTCTGGGATTACATCTCTGAGAATCCCTTGTCATTACTCATGCCAGACTGAGGTTGATGGAAGTAGAAGTAAAAACCAGCAGGATAATACCAGGTTGTCCATTAACTATACTATTCCCCAGAGCTGTTTCTCCATCACCTTTGTACATCCATCTTGAAAGAGGCCCACTAAAAAGGCGCTCTGGGGCCAACTACTCCAGCTCCAGTTTTAGCCATGTCACCTGAAGTATGCCAGGTGAGGAAAAAAATTCCAGTGGGTATTTTTTTTTTCATGTATTCTCGATGCATCAAGTCCTTACAGGGAATGAGCTAAGCTTCCTGGCTTGTATAATACCTTGCCTTTAATGGAGTTAACCCAGCTTCGAGATGGGAAAATGGGTATCAATAGAAAAGAATGGGTCTACAACACCTCTGGATAACCTATTCTGGTGGGGCGCTCCAATACCAGAGTTTGCATGTTTCCTCCTACTTTATCCAACGTTTTATGATGGAACAACTAGAGGAAACACATTCCACCCCTCCTCAAAGCATCTTTTCTGCTGGGTTCGTACAAGACGCTTAACTTGGTTATTTAGATCACTGTCTGGATTAGCACAAAACACTGAACCACCACACCAAACAGCAAGCTATGGAAAACACACCCTAACCAAGATCAAAGCTAATCAGGTTCTGCATGTTGGTCTTCCGCTGATCTCCTGAATCAGGTTCCGCGAACTCAGCTATCAGGTATCATGAAGCTACTACCAAGCCCGTCTTGAGCTTGCTGCACACTCAGCATAAACGTAAGAGCAGCTTTCCTGGATCAGGCAAAAGGCCCGTCTAGTCTAACATTTGGTAGCCGCAGCAGTTAATACAGTGCACTTGGTTGCACTCCCCGGGCGACCACAGCGAACCCCCAGGAACAGGCCAGGGACAGCCGGCTTCCCATTTCGTCCTGCTGCGGGGGATGGCAGGTCACTGCCGCCTCCTTCCGCTTTTCAGACAACCGAGGAGTTTGAAATGGAGTGGTGCAGATAATCAAGCCATGCGAGGAGGGCGTTATTGTGCGCGTAGCCCTGCCCCCCCCAATTCATTCACAAGAAAAATGGGGGGCGGGGGCGGAAGCAGGCTTCCCTTCTCATTAGTATTCAAAACATCATTCATGGCTAAACTCCCTATTCTTCTCACGCTGCTCAAAACCCGAAGCCGGGCAGCCTGCCACCCCCTGCCCTTCCTTCCCTCCCTCCCCAGGGATCTGCAAGCAATCCCTCCCCGCGATCCGAGGGAACAAAACTGGGGCAGGGGAGGGAGCAAATCTCGGGAAAGAGAAATGAAAGGAACGGGCAGAATTGCAATAAACCCGTTACTCCGATCCTGCAGCGCATTTTTGCATCTGCACAAGAGACCACGTATAAAAACTACGGGGAGGGAGGGGGAAGAACCAGCAGGTAAAACAGAAAACAGAGTCCACCCAGAAGTAAATTAACAAGAAAATCACTCAGAGGTTTCCAGGTACCAGACT